GTTATCCCAAGTTGCTGCTCCCACTGGTCATGTCTGCTATTCCTTCTCTGGCACATTTGCTCTTTCCATAGTCTTATTTATTCTTTCTTTAAAATAGCAGTAGCTACTATATTTTGAGCACTTACTGCTCAACAGACTTCAAGTTAAAAGCTTTACCTCTAGTCTTCCACTGAATCCTCCCAACAACCCTGTGAGCTGAGAAATATCACCATCTGGGGAGACTGAGACTCAAAGGTAAGGCAACTATGATCAGTTTACACAGCTAGAAATAATGGTGCTGAAGCACAAATCCAGAGCTATACCTTCTCCCTCCATGTATTTCTCCCTCAAGGGTCTCCCTATTCCCACAACTAAGGCCTTGATTTCTCCTTACATTCCTTGTGCTCAAACACAGACAACTCATCACCACAACTGTGACAGACTTGAGGCTAGCCTTCCATGATGGGCCACTCTATACCCCAAGGCCCACAAACAGCCCATCTTCACACCTCTGTGTCCCCCAAGTGGGGATACCTGCTGGGCTGTGATGCCACTGGCAATGGCCTGCTGCACACTCTCCCGGGTCACCTGTGCCACAACCATGTTGGGGAAGCGATAGAGCATCTCAGAGAAGAGGGCAATGAGGGCAATCTGCAGCTCCGACTCTGACCCAGGGATAGGAAGAGAAGATAAGGAAGCTACCCTCATATTCGGACTCCCTTGAGCCCTTCCCCCAAACATGAGGAGAAATATCAGAAAGCTCTGTAAACCACCAGTAAATGTAAACATAAACTGCATCCCCTCCCATTTCCTTCCCCTCCCACTCCCACCGTTAATCTGCTCTCCCTCTGTCCAGTCTCACCCGTGTAGGCATATAGTCGGTAGTTGGTTTCCACGACAATGAAGCCTGGCTGATGCACAGTGCCCCCAGCCCCAGAGACACCTGATGAGAGATTGATGGCCAGGCGTGTGGGATAGTAACGTCGAGATTTCCTCTGGGAAGGACAAAGGGAAAGACAAAGGTCACCTGTCAGTTGCCCTACATCTTCCTGCTTGGGACATCAGATCCCTCCCAGTGCACAGAGCCTCAACCTTCAACTTCCTCCCCAAGTGACCCAAGTACTCAGTCCTGGCAACTGTTTCCTGCTGGTGCCAAGACCCAACTTCCCTAGAAGCCATGTATCTGAATGTTCATACCTTCCTCTGGAAAACAAGTCCAAACTCTCGCAGATGTTGCAGGAAATTCAACAGAGAATCACTCATACCCTCCACAGAGTAATCCTGGGGAAAAGGTAATACCTTTTCAAAACACATCCCTTCCTCCCTCCCTCAGTGCCATAGACTCATTCCCTCCTCCCCCTTCTCTGGTCGTTCTGTGTTCCTTCTTATTTTCTCACTCTACTGCCCCAACCTGACTTCCCCTTCCCATCTCCTTGTCCTCTAGCCCCTTACTTACCTTGCCCAGAGTAGAGAAGCTGAGCTGAAAGAGGAAGGAGAGAATCTCCACTAGGTCCATACCCCGGCTCTGGGAAGAAAGAGACAGAAACAAATGAGAAATGGGAGGGGGAAAATGAAGGAGAAAGACAGGGAAGAAAGAACAGAGAACAGTCTATGGGTGGTTATCTCTCAGTGGGATGTAAGAAGATCAAAGCATGCTGGCAAGGAGCCCTGGCCTCCTCACCTGGGCTGTCTGCAGATACTGCAACATAAAGTACCAGAGTTGGGCAGGTGTGTCCAGCAAGAGGAATTGGAAGCCAGCAGAAGTAATGCAGGGTGGCTCTCCAGGTTCAGTACTAGACATAGAGAGGGACAATGACAAAGATATGCATAGAAAGACTACCATCTCCACATGTCCTCATTTTTTTAAATATTTATTTTTTGGTTGGACACAATATCAACATCTTCATTTTATTTATTTATTTTTATGTGGTGCTGAGGATCGAACCCAGGGCCTTGGACGTGCTAGGCAAGCGCTCTACTGCTAAGCCACAACCCCAACCTTCCATGTGTCCTCCTATGCTTCTTCTGGGTATCTCTGGATGTATTCAATCAACTCCCTCCAATCCTGACTCACCCTGGACACCTATTTTATCAGGGCCCCAAGGAGATGGCACAGCAGCTCCCTCAGGCTTCCTCACCTCTTCATGAGCCCAGCCTGGCTGAGGAGCTGAGCCAAATCCTGGCTGACAGCTGCACTGGGAGAGCCCACCATAAAGTGTAAGACTACCTAGAAATGGAAGACAACAGAGAGACCAAAGTATCCACAAACCACAGGAAGTAGAAGCACAGTAGAAATACACTTAGATGCCCATGTCCTCACCTCCCATCGCTCCTCAGCGTACTTGTCAAGTGAGGGAACATCCCGGGCATGCTTGTCCGGTCCCAGTTGACTTGTGTCATCAGACCAGGCCTTCCCCCTATGGCCAGGATATGCCAAGAATAAGGAGGCCTATCTCTTTCCTGCTGCCCTTCAACCTTTCACACCTTTAACCCATGGTTCATACATCCTACATCCTACAGCCATATCTGGTCCAACTTATTCCTGAATGAGCTCCCAAAGGTCCCAGGACCCTAAGGTTCTGAGGCGGCTCCTCAGAAGTTCTCCTCCAGCATGTAATTAGCAGTTCCCCAGCCTAGTTTAGGAAGAGACGGAAGTAACATACCCACCCAGAAGGGCAATGCGGAGATTCTGGCGAAAGATGGGGTTGAGAATAAAGCCCTGAAGACCACCAGGGAGCAGCTGGGTGTGCCAGATGCGGAGGCCACTCAGCAGCCCTGTACTTTCTTCCTGAGCCCTGGAACAGAAGTAGAGAGGTGAGTAGGGTGTCTGAAGAGCAAAAAGAGAGCCATAAAGGCCTCCATTTCTGCCTTTTCTGAACTGGTGATCCTTGAAACAGTTCCACATAGTCAAATTGTGCCTTCTTTTTTTTAAATATATATATTTTTAGTTGTTGAGGGACCTTTATTTTATTTATTTGTATGGATGCTGAGAATCGAATCCAGTACCTCACGCATGCTAGGCAAGCACTCTTACCACTGAGCCACAACCCCAGCCCAAATTGTGCCTTCTTAAGATAAATGTCTTCACTGAAATGCCTAGCAATCTACAAGAGTCTCATTATTGACATCCCAGTTCTCCAAGAGGGAAAATATAGCACAGTTTCCAAAGTTTATTTAATGACAAGTTTTGCAATACACCCATTAATAAATTAATATTTCCTGGAGGGAGTGGGGGTGTAGCTCAGTGGCAGAGCACATGCTTAGTGTGCATCTCAAGGTCCTGGGTTCAATCCCCAATGCCCCAAAAATATATATATATATGCATATGTGTGTTTATGTGCATATGTGTATGTATGTGCACATACACATATATATGTATATGTATATGTGTGTATGTATATGTGTATATATAAAACTTCTTGAAAGTGTTCCAAAGAACAGGAGTTTGGGAAATCTAGAGGTTGAGAAATTTGCGTTTGGCTGAGAATGCAGTAGAGACTCACTTGCTGAATTCCTTCTTCACCCACAGGGCTACAGCAGCTTGTGGCAAAGGCTGCTCCAGAAAGAGCATCCGCATCACCCAGTTTTTAGCTAAAGATGGGAGCTCCCTGTAGAGGGTAGAAGTCAAATATTAGTATCAGAAGCTGTCCCATAACTGAATCTCTGCTTTCAAGTGCCTCTCAAACATCTCATCTCATCCCCATATCTTTACCAGTCCTGTTGCCCACACAAGCTCCATCTGTTTTGGCCTTCCACATTTGGGAGTAATCTCCAATACCCCTCTACCATCACTAGGCCACTAAGCTTCTACCCATGATAATTATTCCAGTCTGAAAGCCCTATTACATTTCCCCACCATGATCCCTGACACAAAGAAGTCTCCTCACCTAAAGACAGCCAGACATGTGGCAGGATGCCCATACAATCGGTCCAATACCCCAGGGCTCAAGCCCCCTAAGAATTCCTGTAGATTCCTGCATTGTAGGTGAACTCGATTCAGTCCACCCCTTGCAGGGGTGCTCTCCATCACCTGAGGGATGCAAATGTTAGACACACATCCAACATGATCCATGCCAGTGTCACCCCTAATCTTTCTGTTTCCAGATCCATCAGCCCATAACCCCATCTTTTCTGAGGTTTCCTCTCCCACATCACTTATCTCTTATTTCTCTCAAACTTCACCAACCTCCAACCTCCCTGCCTTTCCTGCTTCCTTATCCCAGTTCTTCCCTAAACTCCAGTCTTCCCTCAGTTGTCCTTCTCTCAAAATTGCCGTGTACTTGAAAAATCATTTGGTATTCGAATGACTTGTCTCATCTTTGCTAAGCAGAGACAAAGAGATTTGTGTACACCCAGTACTATCCCCGCTTCTCTTCTACTCCTCCTAGCCAGATCACTCGACAAGCCCAACTCTGTCAACCCTCCCCATATGGCAATAAACTGCCTCTTCCCTCCATGCTTCCCAAATCTAAATCCACCTCTATCCCCCTCCCTCCCCAAAGTCTACTTCACCGTCTCACTGGGAACCACACCGTCCAATCTCCTAACTTCTCGCCTCTCACTCAACTGTCTTCATAACCCTGGCCCTCTTGGGCCCCTTCACCACTATGTCGATCCCCCTCGCGCACCCCGGGTCTTGAACAGTTGCTTAATCAGAGCCAGTGTCTCTCATTAGCTTCCAGAGAAAAAGGAAAGGATGGTGAAAAAAGCGAGAAAAAGATGCGAGAGCGAAAAACTTCAGACAGGAGCCCAGTGTGAAACATTCAGAAGAGAAGCGAGAGCAGGGAAGGAATGGAATGGAAGAGTGGAAAGGATGAGAATAGGGGCTGCACTTGTCCGCCGCGAGGCATTCTGGGAATTAGAGTCCTATCCTTGCCCGTGCTGGAGCAGGTCTGAGGAGTGTCTGACTACAACTTCCAAAAGGCACCGCGGGAAGACGGGGAAGAGAGTGGCTGTCTTTTAATTGACAGAACCAGGAACACCAGAAGCCTGGGTACTTCGTTCCGCAGCATTCTCGACCCAGGCTGCTAACGGCTGGTCTAACCCGCCGGAGCAGGAGGACCTGAGGGTAAAAGTAGCCCGAGGGCTTCCTGTGGGAGGCGCGCTGAAATGACCCCGTTGCTCGGACTGCAACAGCTGGGCTCCTTGAGCTTAGTTATACCATAAAATTGGTTACTGCACATGTAGAGCATTGTCACCAGTTAACGATCTAGTGCGCCTTACTTGGCAAGTAAGTACTCAATAAATCTACATTTCTGCCTCCGCCGCGCTACCAACCCCTGTGTAGTTAGGGATTGATACAGGTTTTTTGTTTTGTTTTTGTTTTCCCTGTACTGGTGATTGAACTCAGGAGTATTATATATTCAGCTATATATATAGCTGGGTTTTATATTCAGCCGCCCCCTCAACCCTGTTTTGTTTTGTGCGTGGCGGGGGTGGGGGTTTGTTTTGTTGAGAGGGTTTCTCTGAATTGTCAAGCAGGTCTTGAACTTGTGGTCCTCCTGCTTCCAGCTTCCCAAGTAGATGTGATTGCAAGAGTGCGCCATCACACCAGTTTTTTGTTTTTTTTTTTTTTTGGGGGGGGGGTTGTTTGTTTGTTTTGGATTTTTTGTTTTGTTTTGTTTTGTGGTTTTGAGGATTAAACCAGGGACGCTTTGCCACTGAGCTGCATCCCCAGCCCTTTTTATTTTTTGAGACGGGGTCTCGCTAAATTGCTGAAGCTGGCCTGGAATTTGCCATCCTCCTTCCTAAACACCGCCCCCCCCTCCAGTCGCTGGTGTTATAGGCGTGTGCCACCCCACTCAACTCGAACACAATTAGTAAAAGAAAGCAGTTGTTTTTCTGATTTGATTTATGAGTTCTGCAGGAAAGTCAAAGGAAAGCCTTCAGCCTAAACCAGAACTACATTATTTCCCCCAAAATTCCTATAAAGCAAATTCTGTTATTCTCACTTAACAGAATAGAAGGCCAGAGCCCAGCGAAGCTAAGAAATTTGCCTACAATCAGACAGCTAGAAAGTAAATCTGGGATTTGAAGTGCATTTGCCAGGGACGGTTTACCAAAATGGTAAGGGCTGTAAGACTTAGTTACACTTTGTAGCACATGTGTTTTGTTATTCCCTGTTTGTTTAGCAGTCAGTGTTTTAAGTTTCTCAAAGAACAGCACAAAACTGACAGTGCTTCTTTATGGCAAACACTAAGTAAGGTTATAAAACAAATTATACAGTCTGGGGAGAACTGTTTGATAAGATAGACAAACTGCACAAAGCTCTTACAAAGCAATAAGAAAAAGAAGCAGAAAGATTGGCAAAAGATAAACAGCAGAAGAAATACAAATGCCTTTTAAAGAGATTTTAAAATTGTCACTTCAGTTGAAATTAGGGAAAGGAAGTTAAAGTAACAAAAATACCAGAAACTAAAGGAGCAAAAATTTAAAAAAAATCAAGGCTTCATATTGGCCAGGCTTAGGAACATACTCAGACACTTGAAAGCTGATAGAGACATACCCACACACTGAGATTGGACTCAGGACATTCTACTACTAAGCTACATCCCAGCCCTTTTTATTTTTTATTTTGAGACGGGGTCTCACTAAGTTCCCCAGGCTAGCCTGGAATTTGCCATCCTCCTGCCTCAACCTGCCTAGTAGCTGTGAACATAAGCATGTGTCACTCACTGCACACAGCTTAGTCTCACCTTTTTTTAAGGAAAGTTTGTCCATACAGTAGTCCCCCTGTGTTAGTCAGCTTTCCATTACTTTAACAAATGCCTGAAGTAATCAATTTATAAAAATAAAAGATTTATTTTGGCTCGTGGTTTTAGAAGTTTCAGTTCACAATCAATTGATTCCATTGCTTTAGGCACACGGTGGTACATTATGGCAGGATTGCAGAGTGGAGCAAAACTGCTCAGCAATGATTAGGGAGTGAAAGAGAAGAGGAGAGCTGGGATCCCACTGACCCCTTTAAGGACAAACTCCCTATGATCTGAAGACATCCCATTAGAACCCACATCTTTAAAAGTTTCCACAACCTTCCAATAGCACCATGCAGGACCAAGTTTTCAACATACTGGGGATGTTCCAGATTATAGCTTCATTCCCTCCCCCATTTGTAGTTTTGCTTTTTTTAGGTTTCAGGTGCTTACAGTCCATTGTGGTCTGAAAATATTAAATGGAAAATTCCAAAAGTAAGCAATTCATAAATTTTAAATAAATTTTATTATAGTATATTATAATTGTTCCTTTTTATTAGTATTTATTGTTAATCTCTCACTGTATCTAATTAATAAATTAAACTTTATCATACTTAGGTATATATAGGAAGAAAGAAAGTATATAGAGAGTTTGGTACTACCTAGGGTTTCAGGAATCCACTGGGAATCTTAAAACATATCTCCCAAGGATAAGGTTAAACCCTTGTTTCTACTAACAATTTTGTTTTGTTTTATTTTTTAGTTGTAGTTGGACACAATACCTTTATTTTATTTATTTTTATGTGGTGCTGAAGATCAAACCCAGGGCCTCACACTTGCCAAGCGAGCACTCTACTGCTGAGCCACAACCCCAGCCCTCTACCAACAGTTTTTTTTTTAAATTTTTTTTCAGTTGTAGATGGACACAATACCTTTCTTTTCCTTGTTTATTTATATGTGGTGATGAGGATCAAACCTAGGGCCTCATGTATGTGAGGCAAGTGCTCTACCACAAGCCACAACCCCAGTCCCTCTACCAACAGTTTTAATGTGACTATCTTTTGACCTGGAAACTCCATCTTTGGGAATGTGTCATATGGAAATTCCCCCACATGGTACTGAGTTAAGCATGAAAAGATGTTTACTAAGGTGTTTTTCTTGTATTAAGAGAACAGTGCAAATGGCCCAAATGACCATCCTTGTGGGTTGGTTACATAAAATGTGGGTCATTGCAACAATGTAGAATACCCGGCAGCCCTTAGAGAGGAGGTCCCTGTATGCACACTGGCCTTGAACTATCTACACCAATCACCAGGGAGAGAAAAGCAAATAAAAAGCAGCATACTGGGAAAGCTGGGAATGGAACCACCATTTGACCCAGCTATTGCCCTTCTCGGACTATTCCCTGAAGTCCTTAAAAGAGCGTACTATAGGGATACTGCTACATCCATGTTCATAGCAGCACAATTCACAATAGCTAGACTGTGGAACCAACTTAGATGCCCTTCAATAGATGAATGGATTAAAAAATGTGGCATTTATACATAATGGAGTATTACTCAGCACTAAAAAATGACAAAATCATGGAATTTGCAGAGAAATGGATGGCATTAGAGCAGATTATGCTAAGTGAAGCTAGCCAATCCCTAAAAAACAAATGCCAAATGTCTTCTTTGATATAAGGAGAGCAACTAAAAACAGAGCAGGGAGGAAGAGCATGAGAAAAAGATTAACATTAAACAGGGACGAGAGGTGGGAGGGAAAGGGAGAGAGAAGGGAAATTGCATGGAAATGGAAGGTGACCTCACTATCATACAAAATTACATATAAGAGGATGTGAGGGGAAGGGGAAAAAAATCAAGGGAGAGAAATGAATTACAGTAGATGGGGTAGAGAGAGAAGATGGGAGGGGAGGGGGGGATAGTAGAGGATAGAAAGGTAGCAGAATACAACAGTCACTAGTATGGCAATATGTAAAAACGTGGATTTGTAACCGATGTGATTCTGCAATCTGTATTCGGGGTAAAAATGGGAGTTCATAACCCACTTGAATCAAATGTATGAAATATGATATGTCAAGAGCTTTGTAATGTTTTGAACAACCAATAAAAAAATTAAAAAAAATAAAAAGCAGCATATTCCATTCAATGGCATCAGTGTAACACCAAGAGAAGCCATATGCTTCATTTTAGAGGGAGCAGGCAGGAGGGACTGGACAGATCATGTCACAGTTCCCTACACTCTAAGGCTGTGTTGTCAAGTATTGTAGCCACAAGCCACCTGTGGCCATTTACATTTAAATTCACTAAAATAAAAATTTAAAGCCAGTCTCTCAGTTACACTAACCCTGTTTCAAGTACTCAACAGCCACAGGAGGCTGGTAGCAGCCCATCGGACCATAGGGATAGACCATTTCTATCCTGACAGTTCTTTGGGAGAGCACTGTCCTAATGGATATGGGCAAGCTGTCTGATGGCAGGAACTAAACTCAGCCTGAGTTTCTAGAATTGGACTTGAGGAAGAAAATCAGCTTGATAATCCAGCTAGGTCTAAGAAGGGAATTTAGGAGCTAAAATCGTGCAAAGATCACAATTTCATAGCCCTGTCAAGCACAGGCTTGTCCTGCCTGTACTTGAAAGCTCCTGAGATAAAACATCTCATAACTCCTCCCCTCAAACAGCATCCTAGAGGAAAGAACCAGGAGACAGGCCCACTTCCTACCAACTTTACTATTTACTGGCTATGCTGCCTTTGGCGTAGCCTAACAGAAGTTAATAATTTTAACTAATTCATACATTGTGTTAAATAAGATATGTGGGGCTGGGGATGTGGCTCAAGCGGTAGCGCGCTTGCCTGGAGTGCGTGCGGCCCGGTTCAATCCTCAGCACCACATACAAACAAAGATGTTGTGTCCGCCAATAACTAAAAAATAAATATTAAAATTCTCTCTCTCTCTCTCTCTCTCTCTCTCTCTCTCTCTCTGTCTCTGAGAAATTCTTTTAAAAAAAAAAGATATGTGTAATAGTATTATACATGGTATATAGTATGTGCTCACTAAAATATTATCATTATCTTCTATAACTTTTTTTAATCCTAGTTCTCTTAAGTGCACAGAATCATGTTAGCCCTTCACATGTTTAATATAATTCTTTCTTTCAACCAAGATTTATTGAGTCATGTGTTCCAGGAATTTGCCCTTGTGCAGCTTACAGTCAAGCAAAAGAAGCAGGTGTTTTTTTAAAAAAAAAAATACACAAATACATGTAAAATCACACCTATGATAAATGCTACAAAGAAGGGATTCATGTGCTCTGAGAGTGTCATTAGGGAATTTGACCTGGTTGGGTAAGATTGCTGAAGGGCAAGCAGGAGTTAACAAGGCAGACTATAGGGGACATTGTTCCAGGTGGGGGGACAACATGCTACAAAGCCCATGTGGCCAGAAGGACTGGCCTTTGGGGGAAACTAAAAACTCAGTGGTACATGGGGAGGGACAGAAGAGTGCTGGGGAGGAGAACCGGGACCAATCTTAGTCAGGAAGATTTTGTTCTTTAAACCTTGATGGAGGGCTGTGGGTGTAGCTCAGTGGTAGAATATTTGTCTAGCATCTGCAAGGCCTTGGATTTGATCCCCAGCACCACAAAATAATAATAATAATAATTTTTAAAATAAGGATGATAGAATAGACATTATGATTGCTGTATGTATATAGGTGACTCTATGACCAGTGTGATTCTGCAATCTGTACAATCAGAAAAATGAGAAATTATACCCCAATTGATTCAAATGTATGAACTGCCAAGATCATTGTAATGTCATGTGTAGCTAATAAAAAAATTTTTTAAAATAAGGATGAATAAGAAACCACTAAAAGGTTTGATAAAGGAGTAAAATCAGATTATGCAAAGATGATGATGATGATTCTGCTGGGGACTGAACCCAGAGGCACTTAACCACGGTGTCATTTCCCCAACCCTTTTTTTAAATTTGAAACATGATCTCACTAATTTGCTTAGGGACTTGCTAAATTGCTGAGGCTGGTCTCAAAGTTGTGATCCTCCTGCATCTGAGATCACAGGCGTGCACCACCACACCCAGCTAGATTATATGTTTTTAAAGATCACAGTGTTTGCAGGGCCAGAAACAAACCAGAGAGTGCTCTCCAAGAGTGAGATAACCACTTTGGGTACAATTACAGTGGTCCAGGGAAGATGGAGGAAGTATCAGGAGGGCAATCAAGATGGAAATGACAAGTTCCAAGAAGACTGGGATGGCAGAACCAAATGAGCTTTGTACTGGATTGGCCATGGCAGGTAAGGGTAAGGAAGGAGGGTTGTCAAGGATGATACCTTGTGCAGCTGAGTGGATGTGGCTGCCACTCACTGAGTCAGGATACTGTGGAGGAGGAGGTTTGAACATGTTAAGACTGAAGTTCACGTGAACTTCAGGTTGCATTATAGGTCTAGAGCTTGAGAGTCTGGGCTTGGAGATTTGGGCATTATCAGTTTACTACTTGGCCTCTATTGCTTATTATTCTGGGTTCTGGCTTCTAAACTCTTAACCTGCCAGTGCCCATCTTAAATTACGGTGCACAGTGGTCTGACCTGTGTAGGTTTTTGCAGGATTATTAGATTTGTGACCAGAACCCTGAGTCTATTAATTCAGTCTCAGAGTCTATTAATTCAGTCTTATTGTTATCCTCATTAACCATTTGGCTCATTTTGTGAATATCAAGGGGCCTTATTTCACATGAACTGCTATCTAGACAGGTCTGCCTCATCCAATATCTGGAACTAGTTGCTTATTTTTTAACCAAATTCAGACTCCTCATTAAATGCTTTCTTAGGACTTGTGGCTGATCTCATCCTTCTGGGCCTCAGATCATTTAGGCTTATGGTTCTGGCTTCCAACTAGACAGCTCACACTCGATCATTTGCACACTTGGTCAGCCTAATCCAGGGGTCTCACCTTCCCCAGACCCTCAGGGGAAGGGAGGGTCCTAGAATTTGAGCAAGAAAAATAAATTAGACTTTTTATTTTTATTAACCTCAACCTCTAACTAAAAATTAGCATTTCCTTCAATTATAAATGCAAGCAAACCCCCAGTAGTATCAGTCATACCTGGGACTTGTCACTAATAGAAATATATTTTTATATCCTACTACAGTGGTTATAGAATTCCCAAAATAGTTTGTTCATTACTAAGAGAAGCATATTTGTTACTATCATAATTTTTTAACATTTTGGCAAAGTAAGTCAATTGGTAATCCTTCAATCTTATGATCCATATTTTATGAATTTTAAAACAATCCTGGAGCTAGGAGCGGTATTGCATGTCTGTAATCCCAGTGACTCAGGAGCCTGAGGCAGGAGGATTGCAAGTTTGAGTCCAGCCTCCACAATTCACAATTTAGCAAGTCCCTAAGCAATTTAGCAAGACCCTGTCTCCAAATGTAAAAAAAAAAAAAAAAAAAAAAAAAAAAAAAAAAATTTGAAAGGGCTGGGGATGTGGATCAGTGGTTAAGCACTTGTGGATTCGATCCCCGGACGATCACAAATTCAAGGCCAGCATAGGCAACTTAATGAGACCCTATCTCAAAATAAAAAGGGCTGGAAATATAACTCAGTGGTAGAGCACTTGTCTAGCATGCACAAGCCCTGGGTTCAATCTCCAGTAGAAGGGAGGAAAAAAGCAAACATAATTCTGAGGAAGGGTCAAGAGACACCTCCAGACTGCCAACAGAGTTCCTGGCACAAAATATGGCTCAGAATCCCTGGCCTGAGTGAGCTCCCCCAAGACCTCCTGCAGAGCACCCCTCCTGAGTAGACAAGGTTCCTGAGTTCACATATTCATGCAGTCTCATGAGGTCCCACTGGCAAGGGCCTGGATTATGTGGAAACAGACCACTGTGCTGGACAAAGGTAGGTGGTAGGAAATAGACCAGGGAGAAAGAAGAAAGGAAGACAGGAAATGGGTTGGTAAGAGGCAGATTTTAGCCCAAGAAACTCACTCAGAGCTGTGGAAAATTCAACCTTTATTATTACCTGCCTAATGCAGGGGATTAAAGTTGTCTCAAGCTAGATCCATATATTAGTGTAAAAATCTGTGTCTCTCCCCCCAAAAATGTACAAACCCCAAGTGATTATAGAAAAACCATTTTGGCAGCTAATAGAGATGTCCAACCCCAAGGCCAAAGGCCATCACTCCCTCTTTTCCCCTAATCCCAGTTTACTCCACAGAAATGTACAGGTTTAGAGAATTTCTAGCTACAGCACAGATGGCAGGTGGGTAGTAGGGAATCCCCAGGTCCAGTGTATTGGGGATGGAGGAGGAAGCCAAAGCTGAGAACAGTTCCGGGGTAGGCTCAGGGAACAGCTTTCTTCCCTTCTTGTCCTTTCTACCCCCTAAATTCTCAGCCAGTGGGGTCCAGTGTGTGACAGGAAGAGAGAGGCTGGGGACACAGCCAACTCCCCAGGAACCAGTGTTATCCAGTGGGACCCAGGTGTTCAACAGGCCATGTCCAGTGTCTGCCCTGCATTTGTCCCCACCCTTCCCCAAAGGATGGTGAAAGAAGTCAGAGAGGATCCCATCCATAGGGCCAGCTGGGTGGGTGGCAGGAGCTTCTAAGGAGGAGATGGAAGGAGAAACAGGACGTGGACACGAGCATATGTCCACTGAAAATGGAGTTATCAGCTCCCTGGGCAGGCCCAGCCCACCTGTTGTCACACTGCCTCTCTTGGTGCTGGGCTGCTGGAAGAGGGTGAAGTGGGGATACCATAGGCTCCTCTTGTTTTAGTATCACTGGTTTCCCTTGGATTGCTCCCCAAGGGGGTGGGCAGCTGAATGTTGTGATTCACACTGTATTGAGTGCATCTTCTGCCAGGAACCGATGCAGTTGGGAAAAAGAGGGTCGCTGCTCAGGCTCCCTGCTCCAGCACTGAAGCATCAGCTCATACAGGCCCTGTGGGCAGGCAGGTGGCCGGAACAGGTACACCTGTATTGTGGCAACATGGATGAGAGGCAGGGAAGAGGTTCTTCAAGTCTCCAAGATGACATGCTTTGCCCTTCCCAGTCCTCCCCACCCCCACTGCAATCCATCTCCCCTCCCTCTGCTCTGACCTGTCGTCCCTGGTCCCGGAAGAACTCCCCAGCATTCTCGATGACTTGCTCGTCGGTGAGCTGCCCAAAGGGTTGGGCCCTACAGAGCATCAGCACCTCCCACAGAGTCACCCCAAAGGCCCACACGTCACTGGCTGTTGTGAACTTCCCCTGGCACAAGGAAAGGGCAACAAAGGCAGAGAAGGGCACCAGGCAGCTTAGCTGTGCAGAAGCCCAAAGCCACCCAGCCTGACTCCTCCCAGCCTCAGGCTCTATTCTCCTCAGCTGGTCCCTTTCCCAACAAGCTGGTCCTCTCTCCCTAGAGTTCTGCTTCTTCTCCCATGCTTTGGTTCTCTCTTCCTTCTACTTATCCTTTGTCTCCATCTGCCCCCCTGACCCTGAATCTTCCCCCAGGTCCTTCTGTCTCTAGTAAAAATATGGCTCAGAATTCCTGGCCTGAGTGAGCTCCCCCAAGACCTCCTGCAGAGCACCCCTCCTGAGTAGACAAGGTTCCTGAGTTCCTATTTTCTTATCTCTTATCTCTCTGCTACTCTGACTATCCTCTGTATCCACTGCTCTTGGTGCCTGAACCCATCATACTGCTGCTCCTCATCTCTCCAGTCCCTTGAGCCATTTTATGGATGAGGAGACTAAAGCCCAGAGAAGGCAAGTGACTAAAGGAGCCACAGAACTGAGAATGGCAGCTGGTTTCCTCCACCACCACCCTACCTCTCTTCAGGTTGCTTACCATGAGGATGCATTCCCAGGCCATCCACCGGATGGGCAGTACTGCCCGGCCCTGCACACGATAATAATCCCCAGCATAGAGGTTTCGGCTCATGCCAAAGTCAGCAATTTTGATGGTGAAATTTTCCCCAACCAGGCAATTCCGTGTGGCCAGGTCTCGATGTACAAAGTTGAGTGTGGCCAAATAACGCATGCCTGAGGCGATCTGGGCTGCCACATGCAAGAGCATCGGGTAGCTGAGCAAGGAAGGCAATTATTGGGAGTCACTGGGAGTCATCCCCAGACTCCTCCCTTCTTCAAACATCCCTGTCCGGGAGAGGAAAGGAGCCTAGCCCCAGGACCACATCACTTCTGCTCCCAGGGAGGAGAGGGAATACCCATGTGTAGGCCAGTGCAGGCTCCCACTCAACCTCTCTAGCTCATCCAACCCTGGGGAGCTTGTGTTTTGTTAGGCTCTGCCATCTGGACTCAGGGGTGATAAGGCTGAGGGAGGGCAGAAAGGAATTCATAGCAGCGTCTAAGTCCCTTCACCACACTCAGTAATCTCCAGCCTTTCTGGCCAAGTTTCTGGATTACTATGGTCCCAGTTCCTCCTGAAATCTCTATCTGCCTCTCTTCCCCCATGCTCCTCTCTTTCCCTCAAGACTGAAGTTGAAAGAGGAGGAGAACTGCCAGGGAGTTCTCAAGGAAGTCCTTGCCTGGGTACATGGGTACCTGATGGTGGGCCCCTGGGCAGCCTCCCCATCCCTGGAGGCCCCTTCGGCTGCCTTGTCTTCCAGCTGATGGGCACTGAGAAACTGGTTCAGGTCTCCATTCTCCATGTAATCAGTAATCATGCACAGGGGGTCATCCTGCACACACACACCCAGGAGCCGGATGATGTTTGGGTCCTTGAGTCGTGACATGATCTTCACCTCCTTCAAGAAATCATTCCTGGGGAAGCAGGAAGAAGGTGGAGGGAGCACCAAGGGGTGGCCTGCACCTTCCCTCCTGCTCGTAAGGAAAAGTTGCCTCCACCCTCAGCACACAAGCAAACCTCCCACCCCAGACACCAGTCCTCTCTTGGTCCATATCATAGTTCTCTCTACATTGCTCCCTACTCTTCTTGGCCTCCCTTCCCTTCTTCCAGATACCATTCCTGATACTCACCTGGCATTCTTGGTAGCATCTGGCCGTAGGATCTTGACAGCTACCAGCAAGGGTTGTCCCTTGTGTACATTGATGGGGAAGTCAAGACTGACCAGATCTTGAGGGTTCTCTACCTCACACAGGTGCACCTAGAGAAAGAAGGTCATTTCCTAGAAGGTCACAAAATCAAATGGAGTAACATTGCACAGATGGTAAGGCATGACATCAAAGCCCCCAGTCAGGGCAGACACTATTGATGGCCAGGCAGGCATCCTCCTTACCTCCCCAAACTGGCCCTCGCCAAGCTTCTCCTTGAAGCGGAGCCGTGACCGAGGGAAA